GATTCCCGGTTTCGACATCAGAGTGTTTTAGTTTGATTTGAGATTGTGACATCGTTCCTTAAGTTAAGGCTGACAACACCGTCAGAGAGAACAAGAATAATGGAGTTTTGAAGATGATGACAACTTTGATTGCCAAAAACCACATGTCCTGTGCGGGCATTTTTTTTGCCCGCACAGGGCACACACACGGTCCGTTAGGTTACTCGATTGCAGGAGTTCGCATTTTGAGATTTTGTCAAGTTGAGAATGTGAAGGCATCCAAATTTCATGTTTCCCTGTTTTTGTGCTGTATGCACTGCCAAGATCAACTATTTGGTCTGATCGCTGCTGCTATCCGCTATGTTGATCTGATTTGCGACGTGCCAGATTTGGTTCAGATACTTGCAGCTACTTTCAGAAAGGTGGGGAACAGGTTTCAAGTTCAAGAGAAATGGGCCTAATGTTTAACCACTCCCTGGTTGAATGAAGGTGTACCATGAATTAACAGGATGATATAGAGCAATCACAATGTGTCAAACCTATGGGTAGAATATTCTAATCACCTTGCGGTTACTGCCCTACTAAGGAAGATCAAAACGATCTTGGATAGGATCCAGATCCGGAAGTGGATTGGGCCATCAGCCAAAATCAACGTCGAATTCCTGTCAGCCTGTCGTGATTGGAAGGGATGGTTCCTAGATTGAAATAAGGAACACAAAAAATCCTCTGGGTTTTGATCCTCCAGAAATCTTTCTGTCAGCACAACCCTTCTTTTTCACCCTCAATGTTTGATTTCGCCGCGCGCCAAGGCTGGACCGCCATCTCCCAGTGACCTTCCGAGGATGACTGAAGAAGGATTCCGTTGGCCACCATGCTTTCATATTTCTTCGGAGGGTAGGCTGGTTTCGGAAAACAAACTATTGGATCCCTCACGGTTTGAATGTTCCTGATAGTTATTCGTCATTTGTTTTGGGACAACCCTGCAAGATGTTCCACGGAATATTGTGATCAAATATGACGACCGACATGGACCTTTGATTCCTCATGATATGGACGTCATCGCATTTGTCAAGAAAAATGCCGCAGACACGCACTTGGGACAGGAACCTCGATACAATTCATGCAGTGACACCGTTCCAATCCTGGCTTGTTGCTGGAACCAATTCCTTTAAGAATCTTAGTTAGTCTCAGTCACTTGTTTAAGATCTGTAAGGCCTATTAAAATATTGTGAGCTTTGAGGGTTCCCGTTTTCTCTGAGGAAGCGATACTCGCCATGCCGTTTCAATTCGTCCAGCCTATTCTTCACTCCGCCCCGGACTCTGCCAGACCTTTGAAGAAGGTCGACCCAGGCAAAGGAAAGAAGTATTTGGAATTGGCTGACATTTTACTTAGACGATTCCCATCTAGCACAAGTGGACGCTCCATTGAGTTTTTAGTGGATCTCTGTCGAAACAGAAACCCAGGACCATTGGCGCCCATACCTTTTTATTCAACACCAGGTCAACAAGATTTGGTTGTGATACCGGCCAATCCGGGTCTTGCAAGGGTGGCACCAACCATAAGGTTTGAAGCCATGTTGCAGCGCAGGCCGTGAGGGTGCAAAAAATATCCGTGCCCCCACCATACGCCAAGATTGGATGCCGAATGGCATAGCATGGGAATACTTGGTAATGCCTTATTTCTCCTGAATCCTGTATGACAATGTGTTCTGAAGCCTTTTTGGTGTCATAGCAGCGGTGTCCCAAACAAAATGTCCTCTTCCAAGTCGCTGTACCCCCATGGAGATGATCGACTACGACTATTGAGGCCCAAAACCATCAGACCTTGCATGTCACCACCCCTGGACAAACAAAAAAACCATAATCATCCCAGCACAGAGCGCCTTGAGGCGTATGAATGCGAAGGTGCATCCGGTTCTTGCCTAAAACAGGGGCAGGTTGAACATCTTAATCTTTTAGAAGCTTGTCAGGTGTTGGATGATGATGTTTTGAGGCCCCGGGCTATCCAGGAGATACTGCCAGTTTGATTAAGATCTCTATACTTAGCAGCTTGCTCTGAATCGTATTTTGGAGGAGTCTTTCGAGAGTTACCAATCTCAAGTGCTTGACTGTGATTTTCCTGAAGCCAAGGAGGTGACCCTAGTTTGTTTTGCTTATTGTTGATTAAGTATTGTGGTTTCAGATCAGTGCCTGGGCCAGGCCCCTTCTCCAACTTACATTGACTCTGATGCCGAGGCCACCGTTTTCTTAGTAGCATGCTGACTTTCAGGATTTCCAGTTCATATATTTGATGTGGCTTGCAACATGTGTGAACCTCACCAGGTCAAGTCAGAGGAGAACAATGGGACTAACCGCTACTGGGACGGTGAACCTTATCCTGAAACTCCAAAGGTCAGACTCTCAAGTCAAAAATGGCTCATTTTGGTCTAACCTATATGTCAATGTTACTCCAAGTTGTATTCTTACGGGCCGAAATCACTCACTGGCATTTTCTCCCAGGACATCCCCAATCCCTTCTTGTTGGAAGATTCCCAGGCAAGATTTGGATGGTGCCAACTCATCACTCAACCTTGCCCAGTCTGTCACTGAGCCCTGGGGCCCCTCTCAGCTTTGGAGGCCGAACCTTGGAGGATACGACAGTACTTGGAAGAGGCATGTCTGTGAATCACCCTCTTTCATAGGTTTTTATATCTCAGAATGGTTCTTTCTCAAGCCAGGTGATGGGGAAGAAACATGAAGTGGCTGAACAGGCCTAACAGCATGTATTTTGCACAGTGCTGTGAATCTAGGTGGTAATTGGTAAACCATGCAAATAACAAATAGTTATAGAACCAACCTTGCCTATGTTCATGGGCAGGTCATTAACAGCAGCAAATCACCAGCGGGGTCAGCTGTGGTCCCAAACTTGGATGGTTCACACTACGCGTGTGATTCTGAGGAAACCCAGGTGCCTCAGGACCACAAAGTTTTTTCTTGAAGAACTGTGAAGAGTCAAACCACTTGCCGGAGGCAGGATCTGATTCCAAATGTCGAACTTTGAAAATCTTTGGACCAGCCAAGTATTAGCCATGCTACTTTGAAACTGTTTGACAACCATCTACATTGAACTGTTCTCATCAGACCGTGAAATTCCAGCTCGGCTGCCATGAGCGAGATGACAGTGAGGCAGGGTTCAGATGTGAAGCCCCATTGAAAAAACTGGCTACTAAGTGAGGAGAAAAAGGTTCAAGTATTGATCTGAGCCTCCCCCATGACCAACGACCGACATCCCCGCTGTGTGCCAGGCATTGCCAGTGGCCAGGCCGCTGGCTAAAAGAGCCAGGATCTCTGAGCCTTCCGGTGGTTCCAATTAGATTTGAAATTTGGTTGAAAATAGATTTGTCAAACACAGGGGTTCAGGATTCGACGCTAGTCCTGATGGGAACGTGCAGTGGGCAAGTCTCAAAATATTGCTGGCTCTATTCTGAGCGTCTGGTGAGTGTGAAAACATGATGATTGGGACGTACTGTTTCACACCACAGCCAAGAAAGCAGAGAACACAGAGCTACATCGAGAGTTGAAATATGACAAAACATGAAATGGTTTGAAAGCAAGATTTCTCTCATTGAATTTTTGTTGCAACCCTTCGCCGCTCCACCCAGCTCAGCCCAGATTGGCACCGAGTCGGGCTTTGTCCAGGGATGCCCTTGGACCTTAGGCATGCGGTGCGCGCTGCTGTTGCCAACACATCTTTGAGGAGCCAACATGCACTGAACTGGTCAGTTAATTGATTTAAGAAAACGGAAAGCGGGTTCAGGCAATGTATGGACACGCGTGCAGGAGAGGGAGCCGTTTGCATGGAGATGTCGCTCCACAGAAAAGAGGAAGGTTGGGAATCCCTGTAGTTGTATGACATATAAATATTATGTAATCACTGGACCACTGGATTGAGAAGTTCAATCATCATCAATATGCTTTCAGACAAGTATAATCTATAATATACCCACATAGCTTTGATTCCAGGCGTGGGAAAGCCATCAAGACTGTCATGAAGGCCAATCTCAAAGAGAAGAAGGCTTCTTCGAGGCCGAGACTGAGTTGAATTTTTCTGGGCTCCTTTACTACCAGGTAAACACAGCTAACAGATTTCAAATCGTTTCGGCATACAACTCGTACAACCCTATTTTTGATCTTGCTACCAGACTTGCCAGGCGCAAGCGTTATCCGAAAGCTACCATCCTAGGGGCATCAGAGCAGCACCCAGTTGGGTTTGAAACCTTGGATGCTGCATTTCAGTGGCCAAAGATCTTCTTTCAACGTGTGGCGACCCGTTTTGGAACATCATGGTTGTGTAAGAGGCTGAAGGCTTGGCGGTGGACCTTTGCCAGCGCTTTTTCTGGCATCGGAGCACCGGAATCTGTCCCTATCCTAGTTGTAGCGCGTTGTAACATGTTGCAGCGCTCAATCGATTCTTCATTACCTACACACCAAAAGTTTCACAGCATCACAACTTAGTTTTTGAATGTTGAGGCTGCCATGAGCTTGGAGAAGGCTGCTGGCCAGTTTCTTCAGTCAGCTGGGCACAAGAAACCAAAGCACGCCAAAGTTCTCTTTGAGTTCACATGTGAGTTGGATGGTCACTGTAGGAAGGTGCTAGAGCAGACTTACAATGCACCATGCAATTTCCCAGACATCGTAGCTTTGGACACAAAGAAAAAGTTTCAGTGGTGCAGCACACACAAGCGGATGTGCCAAGTACAAAAACATCGTCGAGGAAACCGAATCTCGATTTCAAGATTTCAGTCTCAAGTTGTACTAATACTCACTCCCATTTTGGATTATGTCAGAACGACTTTCCCATTGTGTTTTTGATCCGGGTCCCAAACCACTCCAACCGCGCCAAGGATTGAGGGTGAACGGAGCTGGTGCATTCCTCAGCCAAGGGCCAATGCAGTCTAACCAAAAGATTGAACAGTGAATCAAACAAAAAAGCTCGTCATTTCAAATTCCTTCGAGGCCCAATTTGCCAGCCCTTCAGCAAGATGGGCAACCAGAACGGAATCAATGATGAGAGATATGTAACCCACAAAAAGTATTACCGGGAAACCAAACGAGTTTCTGACATACTTGTCATTGAGAATGTCCCAGAGTATCAAAGTGCTACAGCTTCTGCTGAACTAGGGCCCCACTGGTCTTTGGAATCGGTGGTATTGGATCCGAGACTCTTCGGAGTTCCAGCATCTCGTCCACGGAGATTCATCCTTGCCTTCGACAAGAGGAAGGTGAGGCGTGTCGAGGGTGTGTCTTTGGGTAGCACTGGCCACTTTGTGAAACACGATCACTTAATTTTATTCCAATATCATTGGAATGCAAACATTTTAAAATTGCACCCAAGGACATTAGCCGATATCCTGGAGGCCTTGATTGCCCAGAATGTTTCTTCTGCCGACATGTTCCTATGGATGAAATGCCTTCCCAGTATGCTTTCTCCAGCCCAGGTATCCTGACACCAAAATAGAAATTAATCCAATAATTCTCAAATGATGTCAGCTGTTCAGAATTTGAATCAGAGCTTCAATACCTTCAATCTTTCATGCGCTTAGGAAAGGATTCTGGGGGACTATGATGAGCACATGCCCGACTTGCGCTTCCCAGACTTTTCCCAGTACCCTAGGAATGGCAGGGGTAGAGGGGAATGCTCCGACAAGAGTCTTTGTACCATCACCACGTCGACAAAACTTTTTTCCAAGGACAGTTAGTGGCTTGGGATCTTGGGATCAAAGGGTCTCGTTTTGAAACAGTTTGACACAAATCTCACTTCACATAAATCAGTTCCTAGGTAGATACAAGTGACCTTCATTTTACCCACTAGGACTTGTCAACCTTCTCCGGCCTCAGGATGCCAAACGATTTCTGGAGCCCGAGGAACTGCTGTCGTCTCACATCCTGCCAGTGACCGCTGAACAGGGTCGCTTGTGTGGCGCACCGCCTTTATGTTTGCAAGGGATCCCAAAAACCCAACGTGCCAGAATGGCCGGAAACAGCATGAATGCTACTTGCATAGGAGCTATGTTATTGGCTGCATGCCTCACCTTGGAGGCAATCTGAGAAACCGGTCAGCCTAATTCGTGTTTATGATGGTTTAAATGTCCAATGCTCACCCAAGAATGTTTTTGGGATAATCCAAGAACCAAAAAATACACATGTTTGATCATTTTTGTCACATCTATGTTCGAGCTTGGGCTTTGCAATTCAGAACAATGTTCACTTGGCGCCTGAGACAAAGATCGCTTAGCTAGGCTTCCAACTGACACTTCACCACAGAGAATGCTTATTATGCTTATAATATATATGTCATATGTATAGAATATCTCTCTTATTTATTTTATATAAAGATAATATATAATATTTATATATTATGTTATATATATATTATATATAAATATAGTATATTAATATATATAATATATATTATATTATATATATATATATATATTTTATATGTATATATATATATTATAATATATAGTTAGTGAGCCAGCCCTTGACCATCCAGTTCACAGGGCCTTGTCCGCAGGTTTCGGCTTTCAGGCGTTGTGCATTCCTGCAAGGGGCAGGTCTTGCGCGATGCCCAAACGTGCGGGGGCTGGCAATGGGCCTGCCACCAAAAGTGTGAAGACAAATGTGGTTGCAGTGTGGGCTTCCAAGACTTTTGACCAAGCCAAGCCACTCAGTATTTACTCAGTTGTGGACCTTTTGAACATAACTAGAATCAGCTGTGAGTTGTTGATCTTTTATTTGAAGAAAGTAACCAACGATCAGCTATTGTTGGGGCTATCCAAATTCTCTTAGGACTTTCGATGTTGAGGGAGGCGAACATCCTGTTCAGATGCTGGTGGATGATTTGACACCACAGCTCTACCTACCCATCCAAGAGTGGCTCGAGCATCTTATCCCTGGTTTTCCTGATCCTAGACAGTTCCAGATGCCAGCCCACTGTCATATTTGATGCTAAATTTTATATTGGACCCCAAAACCACATGAACATTTCGTTCAACATTTGTTTTGTCAGTCTATTCCTCGCTTCAACCACTATAGGAGAAGACGGACGATTTGGTGGATATTCCTCTCTTGGCCATCTATTTTCTACCCCCGGCAGATGGTCTTCCTCTCTTTCATGCGTGGCTAGTCACTGCAAAGGATGTGTGGCACCGTGGCTATGAAGGCCATCGTGAAATTCTTGAGATTCGGTTGAATGACCGGGTGGACCTGGTGGACCATGGATTCCGTTCCTTTATTCCCACGAAAGGTCTGGGGCGTGTCTCCTGCATCTTGTGGGCAGTTCTTTGGAGCTATTTCAACAGGGATTCCATGGATGGAGATGCCAAGTCGGATTTCATCAGGCCTGGCTTGGTGTCTTTAAAAAATTGAAGCCCCAGGCCCATCATAGTTATTGTCTTCCCAAGATAGGTCTAAAAATTGTTCAAAACAGTTCCCAAAATAGTTAAATGACAACTCCCAACATAGTTCAATAAAGTTCCCATCATAGGTCAATATGGCTCTTAAGTAGTTACCAAGACATAGCTCCCAAATATAGTTAAATAGTAGACAAACTGTTCCCAAAATAGTGGCCAAAATAGTACCCAAAATAATCCCCAAAATAGTTCCCAAAATAGTTCCAAAATAGTCCCCAGAATAGTCCCCAAAATAGTTCCCAAAATAATCCCCAAAATAGTTCCCAAAATAGTTCCAAAATAGTCCCCAGAATAGTCCCCAAAATAGTTCCTAAAATAATCCCCAAAATAGTTCCCAAAATAGCTTGAAGGGATGAAAGGGTCACTTTGGATCACAGCACAAATCCAATTTTCTTACGTGATGGTCCGGGTGGGACCGTCGTCTTGGACCAGGTCCCTGGACATGGTTATTACTATTTTGGGAGTGCTCCCAACTATTTTGGGCATACTTTAGCTATTTTGCGGCTGTCTAATCTATATTTTGGGGGTGCCCATTCATGTTCCGAGCTATTTTGGGAGCTGGGTCTAGGGTTCCCCAGGGCCAAGCTTACGTGATGGTCCGGGTGGGACCGTCGTCTTAGGATCTTGCTTCTTTCCCATTTTGGTAAGTGATCCTTTTATGCATTGGGGGGTCTAGTGGCTTCCACATCAATCCTGCCAAACCCGGCCAAATTCTTGCCAGGTGGCTCCACTCTGTGAAGTCCCTCAAGTGCAAGGTCCAGTCTGCAGGGGTCGCGGAGCTGAGGTGGCGCAGGATCCAGGTGCATGAACAACAAAGTGAAAGGCAACGGAAGAACATCCTACAGAAGGTATTGACTTTTGCGGCCAGAGCCCGGGAACTCCAATGTGAGGATATGGGCTCGAAATTTGAAACATTTTCAAGATAATTTCACACGGTTCCGTGGTTCCATCTTCTATCAGACAATTATCAAAATTCAAAACCATGAGGACACCGTCAAGTACCCGGAGTCAAAGTACAAGGATGCGTTCTTTGCTGCGATGGAAGAGTACAACCAGTATGGCATTGCTGAGGTCAGCTCCCGCTACCGACTGGACAAAACTGCCATGGATGAACTTTATGGGTTCAAGGTAGCTTGGTGTTAAGAAAAATTGGACCAAGTAACTTGTGTCACCAAACAAACATTCCAAAGTCTATTCTGCAACCACCCCCAAACAAACAAAAAAAGGGTGCCGAAACCTTAGAAAGTGAGCCTGAACTTATGAGTTCTGGGCCCTGCCCTATTTGAGACAACCCCATTTCAAACCCCATCCGTTTGGGGCAACTTGATCCATCAACTCCATAGTGCAATCAAAGATAAAGTTATTGCGGATGATTTCCGTTACCCCTTCTCGCACCCCTCCACCCTGAGTTGCTCAGGTTGGTGTCTGCGAGAAAGCATTTGAGCTCCTCCAGAAGCACTTGCACTGCTTCAAGTTTGAAGCGTCAGGCTGGTGGAATTACGAACCGGGTTTATCTAAAAAACACTTAAAAGAATGTAGTATGTAATGGTTATTTACCCGATTTTTCTTGTCCCAAATAATTCAATTTCACAACAGAACGGCGTAGCGGGGCTAGGGAGAATCATGCTTTCTTCGAGTGATCCCCACCAAAATGCATTCTTCTGGCATATATTCTGACCCCCTGCAGCCTTCAGCAACGTCTTGCTTTTAGATGATCGATGGCTGCTTGGTGGGCAGCCCCGTGATGCTGGAGCCAGAACTTGCCACATATGGTGCCAAGTGCTGACGGTGGACTTCCTCAAACAAGAACTGTTTGTCAAACGCATCTTGTTTCTACATGATGTGGCATGCAGGCGGGCCGGCAAGGCATGTTCCGTCCGTTTGCCCTTGACCGAATGGCTCACTGAGTGCGATCGGATGTGTTTCGTTTCCCACGTCTTGGCGTTGATGGCTTATTGGAAGGATGAGCACGGCACCTATGTGTTTGACAATGGTGTCATTGAGAATCTTCTCAAGCGTGCTGTGGAGGGGAATCTTGTTTTATGTGGTAGTTTCAGGGTAGGGTGGTCCAACTAAAATTTGATGCTCACTGGTCTAAATTCGTTTTTCCAAAGAGATTCAAAACAAGTAAGGGACTTCACGACAGAGGCCGACACATTCGTAAAGACTTTGGACCCTCAGTTCAAGATTGAGGAGACCATCATGTTCACAGAAGTCGCACCGAAAAAGATCGACACGACCAAGGAGAAAGTGGAGCAGGCGGACCAGAAGCTCCAAGCTTTGTCTGCTGAATCCCGCAAAGCACAATTCCAAGCCGATTCTCTTGCACTGGCCAGGGATTTGGCACAAGTGGGGAATGTTTATCGTGATGTGGTCAAGTCTGAGAATTCGATTCGTCAGGAACGCATCATGCACCTTCGGGGTCAAAATTGTATCGGTGCAGCCTTGGTGGCTGATTACATGTCCTTGAACATGGCTGTCCATGCTGGGTCCCTCAAGGAACAGATCTCCCTCGCTGACCGGGCTGGGGATTATCAAATACAAGTCAGTCAACGTGTTGACTTGTTGAACAACGTTGGAAAATTGAGATGTCTTATTCAGTTTCTTTTGGACTACTTTTGACTTATCATGATGTTCAATCCCAAAAAAGAAACTCCGTTGCTCTCCCCTGCAGTTCTTGACTCGATTTCCTCAATACCCTTGTGTGGTTTGGTGCGACTTGATGAAGTGCGGCCGCTTGACGCAGCAAGAAGTCAACGACTACTGTGACCTGATGCATTCAATCTTCAAAAAGAGTCCTATGTCAGTGGCAGTGCTGGTCGCACCTTACTTGGTCTCCGAGAAAGTGGCTGGCTACAGGGGAGAATTGAGGACCTTTGGGATGTTAGTATCCGCACATTTCAGGCTACTGGTTATTTCCATTTTGTTCTGAATCTATTTTTTCCCTGTTGATGTTCCCCTATTATTTTCATAATATAGTTGGCCCCTTAAGGTGTCAGTATGTGCCACCGTCAACGGCCCAGCTCCTGCAAGTTCCAGCATCTCACTTCCTGCGAGGAGATGGGAGGACAAAATGGACGCCCGAGGATTCAAGCAGCACAGCATCGCCATTCGCTGCCAGCCACCGAATGGAAGACGCAAAGTTCCCCTCCATTTTGATGGGTGGGTTGTGATGATGGATCTTACAGCTGGAGACAATGTGTGGTCCCCATCCCAATTGATCCAAGACAGGCCATAGCGTGCCCGGGTAGATGGATTGAAAATTATCTGGTTCACTCTTACCTGGTTGGCACTATATTAAAATTTGAATGAAGTTCATGGTTTCCCGTTCAACACGCCCAGCACTGGTTGAAGTCCTGAAGCGGCCACTGGCAGGTCGAACAGAAATGAAATTCCTTGGACGCCGGAAGGTCAATACGTTGTACCGGTGGCCCAGAAAGACAACTTGCCCCATGCCTCCGAGGGAATGAGGCTTCAGGGTTGGAACCGGGTGCCTTTTAGTTCGCCAAAAAATTATCTTAACCTGGGCCTCACAGGTTTTACTCTGGGGGTGTTTACCCAAATTGCCCACAAATTAGTCGGAAACGGTTCATGTGTTATTTTGACAGGGCCATCAGGTACCTATCCAATCTTGGTGGTTGTGGTCTTGATGTTGATTAATCTGATGTGATCGTGATTTATGATCAAAGTGAATAGATGGGAACATATATATTTTCCATTTCTTCGCGATATAATACCCAGCTGATTGAACTATATGTTTGAAACGGCATCACAACAGAATATTCTATATGTTGCACGCATGATATGAACTAGGGTTTGGTTCCATCATGGGTTCGATACAGGTTCTGAAGGTGGTTCTGATGCGACCATGATTATGAGGATGATGGTGGTGATGATGGTGATGATGATATTGATCATCATGATTGTGATGGATGATCGTGATGATGGCTATGGTGGTGATGGTGATGTAGATGAAGATGGTGATGGTGGTGACACTGATGTAGATGATGGTGGTGAGGATGAATATTTTGATGATGATGAAAATGATGGTGATGATGATGATGATGAAGAAAATGATGATGATGATGATGAGGATGGTGTAGACTATGGTTGTGATTATGACAGTGGTCATGATACCTGTGATAGTGATGATAGCGATGATGACGATCAATGTTCATGATGCTGATGATGACGATGATGATGATGATGACGATTGATGATGATTGCGATCATGATGATCATGGTGATGATGATGACGATGACGATGAGGATGACGATGTTGATGATGATGATGATGATGACGATGACGATGACGATGATGATGATGACGACAATGGCGATGATGATGATGATGATGATGAGGATGATGATGATGATGATGGTGGTGATGGTGATGATGATGATGATGATGATGATCATGAGCATGAACATGAGTCCCCTCGGCTGCCACACTGCTGACAGGTCTTTGTCGGATGTCCAGGAATGTGCACAATTCCTGGCGGGTGAGGCTCTCCCGTGTGGCCTACTTTCGGCATTGTTGGGGCGGACGGAGGTTCCCAAACAGACAGACACCTGTGTCCTGATCAATTTGACAGCCTATGACAGTTGGGTGGAACGCGCATGCAAAAGATTCTCTGATCAAACCACCATTCCCATCAAGTTCAAGACCCTGTCCATGTCCAAGACCATCTCTACCGCTGAGTATGTGGAAAAGACATTGGCCTGTGAGTTGTTGGAGGACTCTTAGTTATCTTCATAGGGAAAGGGTTTTGTAATAATAAATTTGTTTTCGTCACCGTCATGTATCGTTACACGGTCCAAGCAGCAAACAGGCTAGCACCCATCCCATGTTTGTTTGTTGGAAATCCCTCCAGGCCCAATCACCAGTCCTATACCGCCAGGAGTGGAAGCGAGGCAATCACAAGCACCTTGGGCAGGTGCGTGCATACGAGCCCAAGCCACCGGCATCGTCAGCCACGGATGTGGACCCAAACCAATATCCTTTGAAGCTGATCAAGCTTGATTATGATCCAAATCCTTCATTGAAAGGGTGGACCAAGTTTCGGATCAGCATTCCCCCAGCAGTGCGGGCTCGATACATCGATGACCAAGTATTTGGGGAGGATTGGTCAAACATCTTGAAGGATTTTGATCAAAAGCCATTTGACTGAATCATTCATTTCCTTGTGTGTTATCTTTTAAAAATTCAACCAATTTTGTGATCATCAGTCCAATGGGACGAGAGACGTGTTTCCAACATTGGGTTCTGGATTTCCTTATCCCTTGTTCTTACTCGGGTTATTTTCTTACATGGGGCCCGCCCCCTGTATTTCCCCCAAAAATGTGGCATCTCAATTTCATCTTTACGATTATATACTACTGGTATATGTTTTACACATATTATATATATACAATTATGTACATATAATATATCACCTTATTTTTACCTGCACCTTCTAAGGTACAGTCCAAAGTCCAATGCTGATGCCACGGCTGCCCTTGCCCTGGTTAAAAAGGAGGAGGAAGATGCAACCAAGGTCATTGAACCTTGGACCAATGAACCTGAAACTCTTGAAGAATTGATGGACAAGTACATCGTTGAGGCCAAATTCCCGGGGAGGAATCATGGGAGTACCATGTTCCTGGTCCAGAGCAAAGCCCGTGATGGAAGCTCCCATCAAATCATTCAGGGTCAGAAGTACAAACTTTTTGTGGCAACAAGGCTGGTATATCATTCCTTTGGATGCTCGCCCCATAAAATGTTTTCATATCAGTGTTGATAAAAATATGATAATTAATATATAATGGGATGATTAAAGGGCTGTTCGTCCACTATAACTACTGATAAAGGGGCAGTTTTTCCACTATAACAAGGTATCGCACGTGGCGGCGGTCTTTTCGAAGATGGAATTTGTTGTGGCACATGGTTCTTCAAAAAGGAGAAGCCAGAGAAAGATCAGCCGGAGAAGAAGACAGGCAGAAAGAAAGGAGATTCCGACGAAGGCGAAGCTGAGGAGAAGAAAGTAAAGAAGATCAGAAAGGAGGTCTATGAGGAGAAGGGCAGCCACAAGAAAAAGGCAAAGACTTTGCAGACCGACGAGAAGGACAAGGAGAGCAAAGATGAGAAGAGTGCAGGTGAAGATGCGATGAACCAGGGGGTCAACGAGAATGGATCGTACTCACAGGGGACAGAGATCACAGATCCTGGGTGTAGCCAGGACCCTGACAAACACCAGACGGATGAAAAGAAGAAGAAGACCAAAGACAAGAAGGAAAAGGACAAGCCAGAGAAAGATCAGCCGCAGAAGGAGACTCAGAAGGAGACAGACAGCAAAGGCAGCAAGAAAGGAGATTCCGACGAAGGCGAAGCTGAGGAGAAGAAAGTAAAGAAGATCAGAAAGGAGGTCTATGAGGAGAAGGGCAGCCACAAGAAAAAGGCAAAGACTTTGCAGACCGACGAGAAGGACAAGGAGAGCAAAGATGAGAAGAGTGCAGGTGAAGATGCGATGAACCAGGAGGTCAACGAGAATGGATCGTACTCACAGGGGACAGAGATCACAGATCCTGGGTGTAGCCAGGACCCTGACAAACACCAGACGGATGAAAAGAAGAAGAAGCCCAAAGACAAGAAGGAAAAGGACAAGCCAGAGAAAGATCAGCCGCAGAAGGAGACAGACAGCAAAGGCAGCAAGAAAGGAGATTCCGACGAAGGCGAAGCTGAGGAGAAGAAAGTAAAGAAGATCAGAAAGGAGGTCTATGAGGAGAAGGGCAGCCACAAGAAAAAGGCAAAGACTTTGCAGACCGACGAGAAGGACAAGGAGAGCAAAGATGAGAAGAGTGCAGGTGAAGATGAACGATGAACCTCACAGGAGAGTCAACGAGCCAATGGATCGTACTCAGGCAGAAGGACAGAGAGCAAAAGGAGAATCACAGATCCTGGGTAAGTACAGAAAATGCAGGAGGCCGACGATTGGACTGACAAACACCGAGACGGATCAACGAAAAGAAGAAGAGAGATCCAAAGACAAGAAGGAAAAGAAGACAAGACCAAGAGAAAGATCAGCCGCAGAAGGAGACTCAGACAGACAAAGGCAGCAAGAAAGGAGATTCCGACGAAGGCGAAGCTGAGGAGAAGAAAGTAAAGAAGATCAGAAAGGAGGTCTATGAGGAGAAGGGCAGCCACAAGAAAAAGGCAAAGACTTTGCAGACCGACGAGAAGGACAAGGAGAGCAAAGATGAGAAGAGTGCAGGTGAAGATGCGATGAACCAGGAGGTCAACGAGAATGGATCGTACTCAGGGGACAGAGATCACAGATCCTGGGTGTAGCCAGGACCCTGACAAACACCAGACGGATGAAAAGAAGAAGAAGACCAAAGACAAGAAGGAAAAGGACAAGCCAGAGAAAGATCAGCCGCAGAAGGAGACAGACAGCAAAGGCAGCAAGAAAGGAGATTCCGACGAAGGCGAAGCTGAGGAGAAGAAAGTAAAGAAGATCAGAAAGGAGGTCTATGAGGAGAAGGGCAGCCACAAGAAAAAGGCAAAGACTTTGCAGACCGACGAGAAGGACAAGGAGAGCAAAGATGAGAAGAGTGCAGGTGAAGATGCGATGAACCAGGAGGTCAACGAGAATGGATCGTACTCAGGGGACAGAGATCACAGATCCTGGGTGTAGCCAGGACCCTGACAAACACCAGACGGATGAAAAGAAGAAGAAGACCAAAGACAAGAAGGAAAAGGACAAGCCAGAGAAAGATCAGCCGCAGAAGGAGACAGACAGCAAAGGCAGCCAGAAAGGAGATTCCGACGAAGGCGAAGCTGAGGAGAAGAAAGTAAAGAAGATCAGAAAGGAGGTCTATGAGGAGAAGGGCAGCCACAAGAAAAAGGCAAAGACTTTTGCAGACCGACGAGAAGGACAAGGAGAGCAAAGATGAGAAGAGTGCAGGTGAAGATGCGATGAACCAGGAGGTCAACGAGAATGGATCGTACTCACAGGGGACAGAGATCACAGATCCTGGGTGTAGCCAGGACCCTGACAAACACCAGACGGATGAAAAGAAGAAGACCAAAGACAAGAAGGAAAAGGACAAGCCAGAGAAAGATCAGCCGCAGAAGGAGACAGACAGCAAAGGCAGCAAGAAAGGAGATTCCGACGAAGGCGAAGCTGAGGAGAAGAAAGTAAAGAAGATCAGAAAGGAGGTCTATGAGGAGAAGGGCAGCCACAAGAAAAAGGCAAAGACTTTGCAGACCGACGAGAAGGACAAGGAGAGCAAAGATGAGAAGAGTGCAGGTGAGATGGATCAGGAAGAGGAGGACGCCGAAGAGCCCAGACGTCCATCAACGAAGATGCAGAAATACCTGAAGAACAAGAAGAACCAGAGAAAGCAGGAGGATGATAAGAAGAAAGGTGATGACAAAGGCGATGATTCGGATGATGCAGGGAACAGAAAGAAGCCCAGACGACCCAGAGCAAAGCGAAACACACGCAAGGCAGAGACAGGGGCAGACAAGGCAGGGTGACACTCACTATCCAAAACTTTGATCAAGAACCAGAATCTCCAGCTTGACCATTGATCAGTTTACAAATTTGACATATCTCCTTTAACACCTTTGGGGGTTCAAATGAATCCTTAGCATTTCAATCTGGAACTGCCTGAATCAATCCCTTTATGTGTGTTTGGGAGGCAAAGTCCGGAACCAGTGGCCGAGTTGGCTTGCGGGACGACTACTGGAACCACATCACAAGCGCTAAGCAGCGTTTGAGTCAGGAGCACCCTGACTGGACCAAGACCGAAGTGCTGAAAGCGGCACGTGCTGAGTGCAGCCCCAAGTGATAAGTGTTCATCAATTTTACAAACAACTGTTTTTCTCAGTTCGCAAATTCTCTCCAACACTTACTTTAAAACTTTTTGTACTCTTAATAAGATCAATTCCGGCCCAGGTGGAAAGTCCATCCTACAAGGGTGAACTCCATGAAGAACATGACCCACAGCGAGCTGAGCCGTCGAAGGTTGACCAAGCCCCTTCGACCCTCTGTCGGATCCCACGGAGAACCCCATGATGCCGAGCCCGATGATGCCGAACCCCATGATGCCGAAAGCAATGATGCCGAGCCCCATGATGCCGAACCCCATGATGCAGAAAGCGATGATGCCGAGCCCCATGATGCCGAACCCCATGCCGATGCCGAATCCCAGCCCTCCAGTCCTGACCAGGAAGAGCAGGAGGATGCTGGTGCCCCAGAAGCTGATGATCTCTCCTCCGCAGATGGCCGCGAAGATGGCCATGAGTCGGATGAGTGAACAGCTCCAATCTATAGGATGTTGAGGGACCGAATGGATCATTTTGATCTTATTTTGGTTAAGAACTTGCCAAGAAACAGCTTGGCCAATCCATACTATGCTGAAACTGGATTTAGACATATCCAGATGGCTTTTGAGACTAGCTTTGCACGACATCAGGGGAAAGGTGTCTTGTGCTCCATGGACAAACCGCGATCTTGGGAAAAATACATGTGTGCCAGGATGATTTTCTTGGCATGTTCATCGGTGCTTGATACATATTTGATTGGCAAGTTTCATCAGCACCTGGTGGTTTACAAGGGGAATATACCAAATTATGTGGTCTGGGTATTTGGTATCCACTAAACTTTTATAATGATATGGGTATGGTTCAGAATTGTTGAGCTAACACCACCAAAAAATAATGATTTACCGGTCTTGGATCAAATTCTGGGTCCCAATATCTTCTTTTTCACCCATACTCAAAACACAGTAATACACATCCCAATTTTATCTCTCATTCCTTGGCTGCCATCATGCCAGATGAAGTCTCCCGAGTGATGACCTGCCAGTGGACCAGTGAAAACCAGAGCGTCGTCCTGGAGGTTCCTGACGATGAGAATTCCAAGTCGACCTCGGACAGCGAGAGGTGCACTTGGGCAGAGTTGCTGGCCGAGATGGAGGAAAACAAGGTGACAGATCCAACCATCAATTTGCACGAGCTGCACGCTCCAGTCATGGATGATGCAGGTATCCAACTAAGTTCCCCCATCGTAATGGAAATTCAAATGTATGCACCAACCATTTTTTGATATTTCCGATCCCCGCTCCATATCAATGGTACCTAGGTCAGACTGGTTCGCAGCGCTACTTGATCAAACCAAAGGCCACACCAATCTATTTCCAATACTCTGCAGTAGCTGGTGGGAACTACAAGTACACCAACATTGCTTCGGCTTTCACTGGTGAAGACACTTAGCTCCTGTTTACACCCCACCAAAAAATCAGAAAGATAGCACCAAGATTTTCTCAAGACCATTGGGTACCATTATGTAATCACAAACACTTGGCCCAAGGAATTGGATGCGAGCCGACTGCTTGTGAAAGTTTGGCGAGTCATGTACGACAAGCCCAGCAATGCCCCTTGGCATCATCATCGTACCATACTTGACATAGGTTACACATGTCCCTGGTCCCTGATTAAAGGCTGAGACCCTGGCTGGCTGGCTGGCACGCTAAGGAGATTTCCCCGCGACGCTTGTCGACACTAGCTGGTGTTGGCTAAACTTGAACTGTTTTGAGTTTTGGGGGCATGCATCATGCCTCATGATATATGCACCTTCAAAAAAAAGGATTTGAATTTTCCACCCAGCATGACATGAGAACCTAAGGTAAGCCGTTGTATTTTCCGGCCACTGACATCGAGATGCCGGAGGGTGGGGTGGTGCGACTGCTTTGAAAGAGCATGCGTCTAGCATCACCTACAATGATTGGGTGATCTTCACTGGGCATAGAATGGCAATGACTTGGTGTTGAAACCCAATCACTCAAAAGTCACTAACTTTAAAATAACCATTCAATCGTTTTGCTTTGGGGGCCAATCAGGGCCACAGCCCAGCTGGAGGCGGTATGAACAAACATGGCAACAGGTGCGAGCAAGATGGAAAAAATGTGACGCCTTTGGCTGTGCAGTGATAATTAAGTGCCCCAACTATGGTTGCCCAGGTTAACACATTGGGTTCAAACCTGATTGCAATGAAATCTACCCTGATTGCAATGAAATGGCCTTACAGGTAAATTGTTTTGCATCATTATGCATCATTGAGAAAAAAGCAACAGGTTGGCGTATAGCAACTATACCAAACCAACCCGAATCGCTCACCAAGCAGATCAAGAAATGTTCGAGTATACCAACTATACCAAACCAACCCGAATCGGTCACCAAGCAGATCAAGAAAGGTTAGGGTATAGCAACTATACCAAACCAACCTTGCTCTTCGTGCGCAACATGCCTCTGGCAGTTGCTGCCCGGGATCCCTCCACGGAGATACCATTGCTAGGCGCTCGGCAATGCTCGTGCGCAGGAAGTTTCAAGTCCACTTTGGTATCCCTAGACGTCCCTAGGCCCACAAAAAGCAGTTGCAGCGACTTGGTCGTCTGCAAACAGCACTCTACATCAAAGGATGATCATTTAACAGTTCCGTACATTTCATACGGTTAAAAGAAAATTCAAGAGGCGGATCAACATGATGAACTTGTAATGCAACATCTTGAGATGAGATCACACCACGTTATGTATGTTTGCGTTCAACCCAGCGCTCACTCTCAATGATCAGTGGAGGTCCATAGTAGGTAAAGCAGCGAGTTCTTGCCCTTGGCCCAGGCTTCAATGGGATTTGTGTGGAGTTGTTTTCCTCAACCCAAGCCAAGCAGAAAGTAGGCTACTTTGGGTTGAATGCGAAACTCTGCATTTCCAAACAATAAATAGAATCAGTGCGATTACTGAATTGTATCTGCATCATTGCGCATCTTGCCTCGGATGAAAATGTGGCCACATAGCTTTAGTAACTATGGGTGAAAGGATACGGGCTGAGATCTTTTGACGCCCTCACAAACATACAGATATGTTCGGGTCTGAATGCTAGCCAATGTTCCGAGTATACGGTAGCGATCCAGGCAATCAAAGTAGTTCAAGAGCCCTGCTCAACAACATTTTCAATCAAACCCTTCTGCTTAAAGATAAAGTAATGTCTATTGGACATCTCCCACTCTGAGCATCTAGCCTCCCAACAGGGCCAGACGAAAAACGCGTCTCGGAAACAGGAAATGATAGTGGGTGATGCGCGGCAAGAAATTTATCAACAGTAAGGGCCTCTAATGTTGATGAATTCGTCTGATATCAATAAGACCATTTTGTTCTCATGCGAGACTAGTCATGCCCTGCTCAACAACACTTCAAACATTTTCAATCAAACCCTTCTGCTTAAAGATAAAGTAATGTCTATTGGACATCTCCCACTCTGAGCATCTAGCCTCCCAACAGGGCCAGGCGAAAAACGCGCCTCGGAAAGGGGAAATGATAGTGGGTGATGCGCGGCAAGAAATTTATCAACAGTAAGGGCCTCTAATGTTGATGAATTCGTCTCACATCAATAAGACTGTTTCATTGTCATGCGAAATTAGTCATGCCCTGCTCAACAACACTTCAAGCATTTTCAATCAAACCGTTCAGCAAAAGAAACAAGAGCTTCCAATCGACATCTTCCACTCTGAGCATCTAGCCGTCCAACAGGGCCAAACGAAAAACGCGTCTCGGAAAGGGGAAATGATAGTGGGCGATGCGCGGCAAGAAATTTATCAACAGTAAGGGCCTCTAATGTTGATGAATTCGTCTGACATCAACAAGACTGTTTCGTTGTCATGCGGAACTAGTCAGACCCTGCTCAACAACACTTCAAGCATTTTCAATCAAACCATTCAGCACAAGAAACAAGAGCTTCCAATCGACATCTTCCACTCTGAGCATCTAGCCGTCCAACAGGGCCAAACGAAAAACGCGCCTCGGAAAGGGGAAATGATAGTGGGCGATGCGCGGCAAGAAATTTATCAACAGTAAGGGCCTCTAATGTTGATGAATTCGTCTGACATCAACAAGACTATTTCGTTTTCATGCCAAAATGTCAGAAGATATGCCAGATAAAATGTCAGAAGATATGCCACATAGAATGCCAGAAAGAATGCCAGATAGATGGACTTGAAGCTTCCTGCACACGAGCATTGCCGAGCGCCTAGCAATGGTATACCCTAACCTTTCTTGATCTGCTTGGTGACCGATTCGGGTTGGTTTGGTATAGTTGCTATACCCTAACCTTTCTTGATCTGCTTGGTGACCGATTCGGGTTGGTTTGGTATAGTTGCTATACCCTAACCTTTCTTGATCTGCTTGGTGACCGATTCGGGTTGGTTTGGTATAGTTGCTATACTCTAACATTTCTTCATCTGCTTGGTGACCGATTCGGGTTGGTTTGGTTTAGTTGCTATACCCTAACATTTCTTCATCTGCTTGGTGACCGATTCGGGTTGGTTTGGTATAGTTGCTATACTCTAACATTTCTTCATCTGCTTGGTGACCGATTCGGGTTGGTTTGGTTTAGTTGCTATACCCTAACATTTCTTCATCTGCTTGGTGACCGATTCGGGTTGGTTTGGTATAGTTGCTATACTCTAACATTTCTTCATCTGCTTGGTGACCGATTCGGGTTGGTTTGGTTTAGTTGCTATACCCTAACATTTCTTCATCTGCTTGGTGACCGATTCGGGTTGGTTTGGTATAGTTGCTATACCCTAACATGTCTCGATCTGCTTGGTGACCGATTCTCGGTGTCCGATCCTGGTGTCCGATCCTGGAAATCCGGTGACCGATCCTGGAAATCCGGTGACCGATCCTGGAAATCCGGTGACCGATTCTTAGTTCTCGATTCGGATATCCTGGTGACCGATCCTGGTGACCGATTCGGATGCCGCCCTTCATGTTAAATAGTTGGGTGATGCCAATTCTGAAAAAATAATTGTTAGACATGATATCACCCAACTCTCCAACTATCCCAGGATATCCCAGGTGTCCGGGCATGACGGGTCAGATCATGAGTCGCCAGGATCGCCAGTTGGCGTCAGTGGATCATGGTTCGGGTTTGGCGTCAGAGGCGCACGGCACTCGTCCTTCCGGACTGAGGACTGGAAGTTTAAGCAAAAGTTCTCATCTATCAGATCATCCCAAATCATCTATCAAATTGCTTAAAAGTAATTGTCATAGTTAAACATAGTTCCTGATCCTTATTGGTTCTGGAAGTTTATTTGTGCCACTGACTTTGGAGAGTGATGGTCAAAGCACTTTTGATTCCACGCGGGCATTGCAAAAAGCAAAGGAAAAGGGCCTGAGCACTCAGTTGATGGACAGCTTTGATGAAGAATGGCAGATGGCAGATGCAACCCGAAAAGGGTCCGTTTGTGATACGGCCATAATCTCCCAATCTGTTTTAGATGGCTTAGATGTCTTAGTGTATCAAAAACCACTAGGCATATCTAGGCATCCTTAAATTCCTTGGTACCCCCATCGAGAGCCCAGGCGTGAGAAGGACTTGGGCTTGGAGCCTGGGCAGGTGGCTCAGTTTGGAAAGATGAGTCAAAGGGAGAGATGGCTGGAGGCATTTCATGGCGTGCCATTTGCAGCCATACCAATACCTGAAGATTCGCATGCAGGATGTCATTGATGATGATTGGTAGCTGCATCATTCTGAATTGTTGATTCAATAGGATTGCCCCCTTAGAAATGAGTAAATCATCCCATCTCCTACAACTAACCCCCCAATTCTGATTTCCCAAGGCTCTTGCGTTGGAACCTCCCAACAATCCTCTTGAATCAGGTGCCCTGCGTGACGCCGTGACGCCGTGACGCCGCAGCCAAGAGCCAGCTCCCCGAGGAGATGCAGCCCGACAGCGATGCGGTGGATTTTGACCCAGCCTAGCATGGCCAGGGCCATCCCTTATGGAAGATCTTCACTGACCACAGAGATATATTTTTTCAAACCATAGGTCTGGGTGAGACCCGTTGGCACCACTATATACATCTATAATCATCTATACACTAGTACCATCTAGTACCTAATTTACTGGGATTATGAGAAGCCATGGCGAATAGCGAAACTGCTTTCAAGCAGAAAAGGAGATGGCGAATACGGGTAATTTTGTTGAAGTGGATCCATTCAAATGGCCATCACATAGGGAACATCGACAAATAAGCCATTGGAATTGTTTTTCCCGGATTGCTTCAGACTTTCCAAAGTCTTTAACCCTGGTTGAAGCAAGAACAATTGGGATGTAAACCTTCAAACTTGGGGTTTTGCCGCTAAACTTGGGAGGATTTCACATGATTTCGGCGTGGGAACATGGTGATTTTACATGATTTAAGCAAGAAGCATGAGGATTGAGCCATGAAAATCGGAGGTTGTGCATGATTTAAGCATCAAATATCACGATTGAACTCACGATCGAACCATGATATAAAGATGGTTTCAGAATGACACATTGAGATTATTCTATGGACATAATTGTACATGGAAATTTGAGTGGCAAAACAATATAATTCAATGTATGGTACTGTAATGTATGGTCATTTTCGTTGCGACAATGAGCATGAACCAGTGGATGGAATGGATATCTGATTCTTGGAATATTGCGATGTCCGACAAACAACTCAGGGGTGAGGCTATGATGTAGCTCCGAAATCCGGACTTGCGAATGGAGCATACCAGGCTACCTTGATACCTGCAGTATTAAATAGTTGTTGATAATCATCTGGCCATCCATTGAATGGCGATGCCATCAGTCCAGATTTGCTGAAGGTGATTTTGTGATATTGCTATTATATGTTGTTGTAGTATATATATATTTAATGTGTGTCCCATGTGGTAATTCTCTGAAAATTCTCGGAAATGTCTATGCGCGTGGCAGCGCCAGTTGAGGAGTCATTGAAGAAGACCTATCTGGTGCAAGTTCCGCCCGTGTGCGATTTTCGGTGGGGATCGCTGCTGCTCACGTTCGTTTCTTCGAGGCATCGTATGTCAGACGGTCAGACGTTTTTTCGTGCAAAACATTGAGCCTTGGAAAACCATCTGGCCAGGTTCATTGGTATCATTGGTGACCGTTCGCAATGCCGTGGCCAGGTCATTGTTGTCAGTGGCACTGGGTGCCTTCACTCCAGACTTCCGCGAGAGTGCTGTGAAGCCTGCCTCTCAGCCTCTCAGACCATGACAAACTTATGGCATTGCCATAGAATCCCAAGAGGAAGGAAACGACATGAAAATATCATTTGGACTTGGTGTTCTTTGCCATTTCCAGCGACATCAGTGTTGTTTTTAGTAAGATTTACTGTATCATTGATTTTTTGAGAGAACAGCATCACCACCATCACCACCACCACCATCACCACCACCACCACCACCACCAACATCACCATAACCGTCACCATCATCATCATCATCATCATCATCATCACATTGTTTGAATCACCACCATTTGTTTTATCACCTCCTCGAGGATCATCCCACTAGTATAATTGGTAAGCAAAGCATATTCATATCTGAACTTCACAAACCAGTTATTTCTATGGAGATCTCCCAAAATTGGGATCCACAAGTCACCATAGGTCCCTCTAACAAAGCGGAAACCTCGAGTTTGAACATGTAAAGATCATCCCACTTAGTATCACTGCTTAGCACGTATATTCAATGCAGAATCATAACTTAACTTTATAACACAGTTATATATGGAGGTTTCCTAAAATTGGGGGGCGGTACCCCCAGTCATCATCCATTTGATTTTCGGATTTTTCATGAAATCAACCATCCATCCAGCTATTGGGGTACCTCCATGACTTAGGACCCCCCAAATCATCCATGTTGGTCCTGTTTAACCCAGGGTTCCCCCAGTCACCATCCATTCTATGTTCGGATTTTCGGATTTTCCATTGTAAACCATCCAGCTATTGGAGTAACCAGCATAGAAAAATAAGTCCCACCTTTCTCGGCCTCGGCCTGTCGCCTGGGCGGAGTCGCAGCGTCAGATCCTCCGAGAAGTTCTCTTTGGAGTGCCTGGAACCCGTGAAGGCGCCAGTGCTGGTTTTGGGAGGATCCGTGGTCTCCCAAAATGGAGGGTTAATAGAATGGTATTATAATGCTTAATCAGCTAATCATGGGTTAACAATGGTTGATTTATGGTTGATATACAAGATATTAATAGAATTGTGAATCATGGGTTAATCATGGGTGAATACTCCATTCCATGTCCATATCATAAATAGGTGGGTACCCCAATAGCTGGCAATAGCTGGATGATTTCATGGAGGAACCCATCAATGGATGATGACTCGGGGTACTGACTTGGGAAACCACCATATGGGGGCCAGAAAGGTGCTAGATAGACTGGATAGATGACTTTAGGAGCAGTGGAGATGAACGGGAAGAAATGGGATGTATTTATGATGTGCTGTGATAAATATTAATAAAGCATATAAAACCTACACCCCAAATAGGCCACTTAATGTGAACATCATTTTTTGACGGCTTCTGTGGTTGGTTTGGAGTGCTGGCTCCATCGCAGCAGTTATGGCTCCATCGCAACACCCAAAAAAAACTTCCAACAAATGGAATTCTGGTAGAAACCTAAAGAAAAAGGCAAAAGTACGTTGATTAATTAATATTAATTATACGTTTACATCTTTTTTGGTGGGTTAGAAATAATATTGTCATTTCTTTAAAATTCTGATATGGCAGGTGAGGGCTTGGGTGGTGGCAGGACTGCCGAACGACTCCTTCAGCATTGAGAATGGCATCATCATGGACAAGGCGGTTATCCGGGCACTGAAAATGCTGGATTTATCGTTTGGTAAACTACAGTTTGCTATTGAAAATTGCCATTTATAAAGTTCGTTGATTTACCAATTAAAAATTGTGATTTTCCATAGCTATGTTAGTTTACCAGAGGGTAATCTCAATTTATGGATATTTATGGTCATGTCAGTAGAGAAAATGATTAATTAACCAGCAATTTTTGGGGTATCACATGTTTGGAGAAGGCTTCATCTACGTCTTTTTTCCCGTGAACAGTGCTGGTATGTGCCGGTTCTTGGATTGTTATGGATTGTTGCGATTTGCGATTGACATCTGGGCAATTAGCAAGACATATTCAGACTTGTCCATTCGATGTCGGACTGTGACAAAAGTGCGCACTGTTCTGTGGGGATACGGGAGGCACGAAGGTTCCATGCTCAGTATGGCTCAGTGATGAACGTCTGGATTGGGAAAAGACCACATTTTTGGACGGATGATTGGCACCTGGGTTTGGACCCAGTTGAATACATACTCTGTACTCATTTTACCTTATATTTCGTCTATAGAATAAGACGTGTTTCACAAAAAAAAAAACTTATCAACATTACAACATTATTTAGCATCATTTTCCACAAGTTCCATCAGATTCCCAGTATTTTCCAACCTTTTCCATATATACCATGGTTTTTTCTATCCCGTTTCAGCGTTTCCCCACCTCCAAGGTGGCCCTTATGCACCCACAAGGGCCATCGGTGGATCAAAAAGCACACCATGTCTTGGGGCCCGGGACATGGGACAGATTTTTTGCTCAGAATGAGATTTCATTCATCATTTAGTTTATTACATATTCTCAAAAAGGTTCAAAAATAGATCCAACCTTCAAGTCAGCAATGTACAGGATGTTTCTAAGCTTCCGGAATTTGGATGGGAACATTTACAGTTGAAACCTCTATGTCTATGTGTGTTTCCCCAAGCCGCGCATGGTGCCAGGATGGGGCAACTGCTGCTGGTTGTGGCGAAGTTTACGGATGGCGACTATCAGCGCTTGGAAGGTGAAGGGTGCGCGTTTTCGTTGAGAGATTCTGACTCAATGGATTCATCGAAAAATGGTGGATTAAGTATGAAAAGTTATTGTTTAATGGGTTTGATCATCACAAATGGTGGTTTCAGTAATTTTAAGTATTAAAAATTGGGAATCCTGGGGATTCAGGTAATGATTTTGGATTTAATGCATTTCATATTTGATCAATTGGTTTAATGCCAATCTAAAGGAAGTCATGTCTTTTCTCCCCTTCATGGGGGAGCGATTTTTGGACTAACATTTCTTCAAAATACTTGTGTCTACAGTGTTTTGTGACAAAAGTAGGCTGAAAAACCTTTATTTTAGAGCAAAAACATAGAGCTCACCTCCAAAGGCTATCATATGTTGTCATAAATCACTGGCATCTACAGATTCTTGTGACAGGATTCAACTTTTCCTGTGGGGCTTGCAAAGAATTACAGGCAATCAACACGTAAGAAAAACCATTTGCTGCATAACATGTCATAAGAATGGGTAGCTGTGCATCTTGGAACAGAACATACAGTAGCAATGGATATGATTTAGGGATTTTTTCGGATTAAGTTTTCCATAGTTTTCCATTCTCAGAAAGTAGTTGGATCAGACAAGACAACCACGTCCCTTTGGAGCTGACGGCAGGTTGCATCCAGTTTGGAAACCCCATCGAAAATGTCGAGGATCGATCGGAGGACGACCCTTCAGCTGAATTGATCCGATGAAGCGTGAAGTTCCGGACATGGTTGGAATATGTTGGAATCGTCGGATTATGTTGGAATTCACCTACATAAGTCATCATTATTTTTTTATATCCGGCCGGTGGTTTCAAACATTCTTAATATGTTTCAACCCGACTGCGATGATAATTACAAGTGAGGAACATATTCTTTAGTGTTGAAATTACCAACCAGATGCCATATTACTGTTTAAAACCCACTGACTCCATACCATGGAATATCAGGCAGACCACAACTGTCCAAAACGGTGCAAATAGTTTCCAGTCCAGAATATTTATGATATTATCATATATTTACCAGATTCAGATACCCTAATTGTCAGTTATCATCAAAACTATGGAATAAATAGTAATAGTATTCGGAATTTCTCGTGCGAGTCCGAGTTGTTCATTGTTTTTTTCCCATTAATGTCAACCATTATACATATATATTATGACAGTATAATGACACATATTTCAACCATACTACCCGATGGATCCAAGGTTAGCTTCGCTATTTCGGCTATGATTTGGTGGTTTCTTCTCTCGGAAGTATTTGGATAGGGCGAGCATTCGAGTTCATTCCCGTGGGATTGAACGATGTTTGTGTCGAAACAGTTCTAGGTTCCATCAATATGTCTTCCTATCAAAACAAACAAATATGTTTAGTGTCCACTCAACCCACCATGTTTCCAATGATTGAACCTGATTTCGTTCCGCCAGGAGACGGATCCGGTGGAACCGGTCCTCTTGCAGATGATTCAAGGGAAGCGCGTGGCTTGGTCAACGGATGTTCTGAAGCTAAAGTCATTTCCGGTAAATCAAGATAAATCAAGCTAAATTAAGGTATATCCATGTATATCAATGATATTTTAAAAAAATAACAGGATTTGCAAGGATAAGATATATTGAGTATCATACATCATTGTAGTACCTGGACCCTCCAAGTACCTCGAAAATTCTGGCAATATACCAATTATCTTGAGGACTTGTGGCAATTTTGATGGCTTGGAGGGTCTACGTTATGTTGACACTTGGGACACTCATTGTCCCCTTGAATCAATGCTTGTGTTTGCTTGTGCTTATCCATGGTTTTTGGGAACATCTTTACCGGAAACCATGGTTTTCCCATAGAAATATTGGGTTTCCGGCTTCAGTTTTGCCTTAAACCAATCCATTGATTGATCTCCTCATTTGGGGGTGCCAGCAATGCTACAAAAGAAGGCTTATCCGGGCCTTGAGATGGGTGAAGTTGGACTATATCGCCCGTTAAAATTCGCCAGCAGCATCTTTCAAACTCAATGTCCATCCCTTTTTCCACTTGCCAAGATATTTGGATGATGGATTTGGGTCGAGTTTAGTGAAAGTGTGTCGCTAACAGTACCTGGGGTGATGTTGTGTGCGTGTTTCTAATGCATACATCTACCATTTTGAGACTCTGCAGACTATAGGAACATTGCTTAATCTTTACATGCCGCAGTCGTCACTTTTGGCAGCCATCTCGCCAGGTGGGACTACAAGACCAGTTGCTAAAGGCAGCCCAGTGTCATGGTGTCATGGGGTACTTCGCTCGATTCAAGAGCTGCTAAAGAGAAAACTGCGCAACACAAATCGAGATACCACACCTTTCGATCTAGGTATCTAATGATATCTATGTTTTTTTTGGGTTTCCTTTGCGTGTTCCCGACTTTGAAGCATCAAAGACGCTGCAGTGCCTTGGTCCTTGGTCCAGATCCATCTTCCAGGAACGTCCAGATCTGGCAGAGGAAAAGGCCAGATTGGTCGAAGGTGCCCCAGGACGTGGGTTCTCAAGTCATGGATCCCCAGTCGTCACCATGGTTGAATGGCTTGGATCATTTTTCGGGACAAAACTGGAAACCTCCATTTTGAAGCATTTTGATACTTATGACGGAAAATGTACTTATGACTTTCCGATTTTCCGTACCGTACCCATCAAAATTGCTACTGTAAAAGTCCCAAGTCATAATGAGTATAGTAGCCCAGGTTCTTCTAGGTACTTGGAGGCTCCCCCAAAAGCGACAGCCCAATGATAAAAGTTGATTAAGGGCTCCTTAACCACCAGCCGCCACTTGTGAAGCATCGGGGTGAAATTCACCATCGACTCATCGCAGGTGCAAGGAGCAATTGGAAGTCACTGAGAATAAGATCCTGGATGTCACTGGTCAGCATATGTCAGCATGGGAAGCAGAGTCCAAATCACCAGAACAACTTCGTGGGACCACTGGGAAATTATTCCAAAATATCCTGTATATACTGTGTAATGGTAATACCAATGGTTATCCCATGTTATCAAATGGAAATTATCCTACTTCATTTTATCCAGACAATATTTATCCAGATTTGGAATCAGCTAACTGTTAACTCAAAGATTTTGTGGTTCCCAATGAATCAAATGGAGTCGGAACCTCAAAATGAATTCAAAGATTAGTTTATTAAAGTTGAAAGAATCTTGGTTCAAACGGTTCCAAGATTCTATGAGATGATGATGATTGGTGAACCACCTAATCATCGAACTGTTCAAAGAGATGATCGCCGGCTTCCTCAACTCCAAGGAGATTGGTCACGAAGATCATCAACCAGAATCCCATCATCCGTTCATATGAAACTTATTAAACACCCCATTTCTATGGTCCCAATGTGGAAATTCCCTACATCCACCATGGTTTCGTTTCGGGTGTGTTTAGTTTTTTTTGAACGGGGGAAGGGATTACAAAAAAAAACATCCCTTTCCATTCAGGATGAGCCACACTGTTCCAGGAGTAGGAGGATCTCGATGCAAAGAATCCACCAAGATTTCGCAGACCATTTTGGGGGGTTGGTATTAGGTAGGGGGATGCCATTATAGAATCAATAATCTAATCATCATAAAATCATGTTTGGTCCAATCACCGACTATATTGTTTAATTACTCCAATATACAATTGTGTATAATTTACATGTATTTTACCAGTATCTGTGATGCCATTCTGTCTTCACAAGTTCCATCACAATTGCTTCAATAAAATCTTGAATGTGATTCCCCAAAAAAATACTGGATATGATGGGATATACCATATAGTATTCTACCAGAATCTGTGATTCCATTCTTTCTTCACCAGTTCCATCACCAGAGTTCTTCACAGTTCACGCCTCAGGTTCTCAGGTTCTCAGTTCTTCCCAGGGCAACATCCTTGAAGATGAAGCTGCAGTGCAGGTCAGTAGGATCGTTGAATGAAGCCTCCAAAGGTCCCCCGTTTTTTTCTCAATTTGACCCTGGGATTTACTGGAAGTACCATGGGAATATAGTATAGTGGGATATGATGGGATATCTACAGATATACATCTATAATTTATGTATGCGATACCATGGATGGTTGCCAAATTCTACACCAGTTGAGGGATGTGGTAAAAGAAAACCGTGGGTTTCAACATGGTTCAACCATCCAAAGGTGGTGCAGGATTTCGCAAGAATCCACAGTTCATTTCTCAAAACAGTGGCTTAGTGGCTTCTTGAACAACAGTGGCTTCTATATGTGATTCTGCATTGACATGCAGTGTTTTTTGGGACTCGGACTACTCCCCTTATAACCTCTGGTAAACGTTTAACTATGGAAAACCATCACGTTTTTCATGGGAAAATCCACTAATGAAATAATGTTTTTATAGAACAATTGAATGTAAAACATGTCTTTTTCAGCTTTGAAAATATCGTTGCAATACTTTTATAAAATTTTCTGTGGTTCACATTGTGAGGTACACAATGAAACATATAAACCCGGAAAATCAATCAAATACAATGAACAGCACTTGAAAAAAAATGGAAATGCAATGAACATCTCTGAAGAAAAGACAATGAACAACGTTGAAGTTAAAACCAATAAAAACATTCAACAAACCAATGTAAACGGGTGACAAAACTTGGAAAACTATCGAAAAATCAAAAAAGCACAATGAACACATTAAAACCCGAAGGAACAATATTTAAAAAAAAAAACAACGAAAAAGCAAGACAAAACACTGAAAATAAATGAAGACACAATAATGAACATACTGTACTAAACAATGAAACACATCAAAAAAAATCAGAAAAACTAATGAAAAATAATGACAGTTGACATATATAAAACAGTTTATTATAATCATAGTTCATAGTAATTTTCTTTTTAAACAGACCATAACAGAAAAAAAAAAATCATAGTGATAATAGTAACATTTCACAGGTTCATATTAAATAGTATCATTAATAACATGTTATAACAGGTTGGAACAGTTATTATTAATAACTAGCCATGTTTATAATGATTAGTTCCTAATAATAATTAGAGGGTGGGAGACCATTAATTAATTAACCTAGCCATTGGCCCTGGCCCCTTTCCAGAATTGTTTGAGAGACCATTCATTGGCCCCAAGACTTGGCCCCAGGACTTGGACCTTCCGGTCCGGCTGGGGCTCGACAGACGATACAAGCGGCAGACGGTCGACCCCATGGTGAAGTCCTCGTTCACGAAATGCCAAAAATCGTGATGGAAATGCTGGGAAAATCGGATTTTTATATAAAAAAAAATAGTTTTTTCTATAAGAATCTTTGTAATACTTTTTAAACGTTTTTTAAAACCATTCAGTGGTTAGAACGGTTCATTTTCATGGCACTGACATTTTAAAGTTGATTTTCTTTAAAATGAAACATTGCCACAACATTGCAACAACAACATTGCAACAACAACATTTCCATGATTGTGGGCCTTGATAGAATTATACGTATGCAAAAATCGAACAAAGTCACTTAATGCCACTTAATGCCACTTAAGCAATGTCATGTTATCGATGTTATCGATGTTATCGTTCAATTCATTGATCTGATATGTTTTCATCTAATTTATCTACTGATCTCTTCGGGTCCCAGTTGAGGTCCTTTTGCTTCCAATCCATCACCTGTCGGGACTGTTGAATAGTTTTGATCGATTGTGTGCATCTACTCAATGATCTATTCCAATCAAAAAAAACATCAACATTTAGATGAAAATAGTTCGTGGCGTTGCTGGATCTTCACCCAACTTCCCCCAAATTCGTGACACGATTTGACCATTCCGCAGGGTCTTCTCATCCCATCTGGTGCCAGCCACAAGCAGTTTGACGAGTTGAACACTGGAAACTGATATGGTTATTGGACTCGTTATAAAGAATTTTACAGGACCATAACCATAAAAAATGAAAAGGTTGAACATCATTGTTTCAAATTTTCCTCGGTTTTTTCCTTGAATCATACCTTGATGCCTCCGGGCGCATCCGGGCGCCAGGTTCCAAACAGCCATCCTCGTGTTTTGCATCGCTGATGCCAACATTGCCACTGAGTTACTTCAGGGCAGGCTTGATCGGTCTCGCAACCCTTGGTTGCTGAAGCGAAGCCGTGCGTAATTTGAGAGTCTTCCTTTTGTGTCTGTGAATGTCATGATCATGTTTTCATCTTTCACTCCTGACTGGTCAATGAACCATCTGGCATTGAGTTTTCTGTCAAGCGTGGCTTCCTTGGGCCAACCAAAGATTGCTGCAAGCATTCCTGCTTCTTCTTTTTCTTTTTTTCTTTTTTTTGGTTCTTCTTCTTTTTTTTCTTCTTCTTCTTCTTCTTCTTCTTCTCTTTTTGAGTTCTTGTGCAATAGGTAGGCTGTTTGTCTTTGCACTGTTTCTGTCTTGTAATCGTTTTCTGCAATCTGTCCTTTCAGGTTGGCGATTTCTCTCGCGTGTTGTCGTAAATGTGCCTCAATGCTGTCGTCCTCTTTCTCCTCATGGGGGATTTGAATCCTCCTTGCCGGATTGGGGTTGCCGTCTTCATCCCATCGGAGTCATTTTGCCGCCAGATGCAACGCTGGTTCGTCACGCTCTGGGAGTCTTGTCTGTCTTGTGTTTGGATTTGTAGCGACTGTGACTATTGCTGCTTGACTCTTCTTCTGATTCTTGCATGTGTTCGTCTTCTTACCAAAGGTTTGCTTATCTTCTGTTCTCTCTCTATTTCTGTTTTGTTGCGGTCTGCCTGACCTGTCTCATTGAAATAATACAGTAGAGATGGGTGATACATCCAATAGATTCATATAGATTCAACATATTTGTAATCTATAGTTGGAAAATCCCTATTGGAAGATCCTGGGCCGCCATGCAGATGCCACGGCAGGCAGCTCTAAAGAAGGCCCAAGAATCCAGAGATATTGCGGCCTTGAAATTTGCGCTACAGCAGGCGGGGGATTGGGGTATAACCTATGTTATTGAAAGTTACGAAAATTATTTGAGGTTTATGTTGCAATGTAGACATGTGTGTTTAACACATTGAGTTTCAGAAAATCTTCGTTCATGTTGCATGTCTTTTTAGTTTAGCAAGATCTTTGCTGAGGAAAATAGAAGTCTGGCTATAATATATATATAATATATACATATATCAATTGTTTATGTTGGATAAAAGTTAGAGGTGCTAAGGATTCTCAAGGTAAGTCCATGCGTATTTTTGGCATCTTTGGGTGGAGGCGGAGGCGTTTTTTTTTGAGCGGAGGAATGAGTGGTTTACGGACATCCCAAGTCTCTGCCACCATCAGTGGCAGCGTTGTTCGTGCAAGGCCCCGAAGCACGAAGCCCGGCAGCAGATGGCCCATGGCCCAATTGGCCAAGGCTGGTCTCTTGAATTCCAAGTATGACCATCTCCCATCATCTCCCTGTGTCTCCAATTGATATTCAGAGCCAAACTTGACGGGAGGTGAACAATGCAGGTGAAGGTCCTGGCAGACCTCAACTTGTGAAGACCTCAGAGTTTACGCCCTTTGACTTACCCTCGGGGAGTAAACATCAAGTGATATCAAGTGTCAACATGATCATACATGATCCATTGGTCAGATTGGGCCAGGTGTTTGTACATGTTGAAGTGGATATCGCATGATATCACCCAGTGTGAGATCTCGCAAACATGTCCTGTGCAGCCAAGATGCTGAATAAATAGATGGCAACAGACATCAAGTAGAAATACTTGGACAAAAAAAAACAACTATTTTCAGAAATAACTTGGAAATACTGTTTTTAGAACTTGGAAATAGTGTCCTGAAATACTGTTTTCAGAACTTGGAAAAGGGCAAGTTAGGACACTTGTTGAAAACGTGTTAATCCCACAAGTTGGCAACAGACATCAAGTAGAAATTCGACAAACCAAATCAAGTATTTTCAGAAATAACTTGGAAATACTGTTTTTTAGAACTTGGAAATAGTGTCCTGAAATACTTTTTTCAGAACTTGGAAAAGGGCAAGTTAGGACACTTGTTGAAAACGTGTTAATCCCACAAGTTGGCAACAGACATCAAGTAGAAATTGGACAAAACAAATCAACTATTTTCAGAAATAACTTGGAAATACTGTTTTTAGAACTTGGAAATAGTATCCTGAAATACTGTTTTTTGAACTTGGAAAAGGGCAAGTTAGGACAGTTGTTGAAAACGTACTTGGAAATAGTGTCCTGAAATACTGTTTTCAGAACTTGGAAAAGGGCAAGTTAGGACACTTGTTGAAAACGTGTTAATCCCACAAGTTGGCAACAGACATCAAGTAGAAATTGGACCAAACAAATCAAGTATTTTCAGAAATAATTTGGAAATACTGTTTTTAGAACTTGGAAATAGTGTCCTGAAATACTGTTTTTAGAACTTGGAAAAGGGCAAGTTAGGACACTTGTTGAAAACGTGTTAATCCCACAAGTTGGCAACAGACATCAAGTAGAAATTGGACAAAACAAATCAACTATTTTCAGAAATAGCTTGGAAATACTGTTTTTAGAACTTGGAAATAGTGTCCTGAAATATTGTTTTTTGAACTTGGAAAAGGGCAAGTTAGGACACTTGTTGAAAACGTGTTAATCCCACAAGTTGGCAACAGACATCAAGTAGAAATTGGACAAAACAAATCAACTATTTTCAGAAATAACTTGGAAGTGCTGGTTTTAGAACTTGGAAATAGTGTCCTGAAATATTTTTTCAGAACTTGGAAAAGGGCAAGTTAGGACACTTGTTGAAAACGTGTTAATCCCACAAGTTGGCAACAGACATCAAGTAGAAATTGGACAAAACAAATCAACTATTTTCAGAAATAACTTGGAAATACTGTTTTTAGAACTTGGAAATAGTGTCCTGAAATACTTTTTTTAGAACTTGGAAAGGGGCAAGTTAGGA